TGTTCAGCAATTTTTTGATAAACTTTCGAGCATTAAAATGGACATTTTGACCCCGCGATAATATTGTTTTTTTTTTATTTTTATTATTTCTTAAGCGCATTATCACTTGGTCTAATTATTGGGACTGCTCCTCTAATTCCATAATCTCATTGCTACTTTGGCATCTGTTGTTTGAATTTTAATGAAATATAAACAACGCCAAACTAAAAATAAAAAAGACTGTGGAATTGTTGTTTGGAAATTAAAGCTAAAAACTGCCAAAGGGTGATTTTTTAAGAGCTATGGAAAGACATTGAACACGTAAAATATAGAAATATGTCTGAAACCTTTTTATGAGTTATTAGTACGCTCCATATAGTTTAAAGTTTAAAGATTTTTTTATGTTAAAGTTTACCGAGACTGCGTCTCAAATAGTCCATCCGCTAGTCCAATTTTGTCATACTCTTTCCAACATTTCGGCTGGTATATCACGAATAAATGCTTCAATTTTGTCTTCCAATGTGTTTGGCTAGTTTAAAGGAATCTAGGCGGACAATTGACGGATCTACAACCTGAAATAAAAAGTTCACCAAACTCACCTCACAGTAAGTCCATTTTTAGGCTGTGTTGGTGTTGAAACGACAAGTCATGCAAGTACGAAGATCTTGCATTTTGACAATAAAACACGAAATCTTCGTGAGCTGTTTTAAAAATGATAATATCTAACAATCATCCTTTATTTAACGAAATACGTCCCATCTAAGCTGTACACGTCAAATATGTCAAAAGAGCCGTCCGTAAAATTTGTCATATAATGACGGGTGCATTGTACCTTCTTCCATTGTTCAAAAATACTACTTCCTAGTAAAAAATAAATTATTATCAAATAAATATTTCCTAATGGTGTTGTATATTTCAAGAATGAACTAGTTCTATTGAACAATTCATTGGAAAGAGCGTATGAAGTGGATCAGTCAAACGAGTTTACTAAATTAAGATTAGTGACCGAATGATTACGAATCCGCTTCAGCATGTTATTCATGTTACTAAAAATGTGACTCCTCTGTGCTAAATACTTTTGTTTTGTTATCCTTTTCTTAAAACAAAAATTTAAAGGAAAAATAAACATCAAAACTTAAATTTTTATAGGACTCTCCGTTTCAGGTCAATCTAGGTTTATACGCTCGTCGGTATCTCTGGCTGGCGGGTGCTAACGATAAGTCTCGAACATTAGTTATCTAACATTAGTTAAAAATAAAATTAAAATTAAAATTCGGTCCAATCCTTCTGGTAACCTATCTCCTTCTACAACCAACTACAAAAAAAAAAAAAAAAAAAAAAAAAAAAAAAAAAACGAACTATTTCAATCACATGAGCTGAACTATATGGATATACTATATTTACAATACAATGTCCTAACCCATATTTAGCAGTCGTTTAACATTAACCAATACTTTTGACAATGATATGTCTAACGAAGAAGTAGCTATATTTAGCCGATTAATAATGTAACAAGTAAAAAACATTATGTTCGGCCAGGCCGAACTTTTAATACCCTCCACCTTTGGGTAAAGAAAACATTTTTATATAAAAACTAACTGAACCCGGTGCGCTTCGCTACCCCTTTTGATTTTATATGCATTCAAAATTTTATTTACGAATATATGTTGGTTAAAAAAAAAACAAATTTAAAAATTAAATTAATAAAAAAATATTGCACTACTTTAATGCGTAAATAACCAAAACCATTAGAAAATCAGTAACATGACATACATACACGAAGGGTTTGTCCTTCGGATTTATTTATTTCATAGCAAATACCAAGCGTGCAGTAAACTGCAATCTTTTGAAGTTGAGTGGCATTTCTATTGCAATTAGTGAATTTGAGATAGCAACATACTTCGCCCTAATAAGCGTATTTCAAATCAATTGTTATGTTGTTTTTTAATGTTAGCCTAAGGCGTTGTGGGTCAATGGTTCTTATTAAAATCATATCCCAATCTGATCCGATTTAAATATAATTTTAAAGAAATTACTTTTACACCAAACTCCGTCACACCTTTCATATTTCATTGAAATTGGTGCGTCAAATATGTGAAATCGGCCGATAATACATATATGGGAGCTATATCCAAATCTTAACTAATTTCCAATTAATTTGTCACATTTATTATTGTAACCAAATTCCGCCACACATTCTGAATTTCGTTGGAATCGGTCTTATATATCGTGTTTGGTGCATAACATGTATGAAATCGGCCGAAATATATATGTTAGCTATATCCAAACCTCAACTGATTTCAATATAATTTGGCAATTTTTTCTGGTGCCAGATTTTGTCTCTCTCGCTTTGGGTGCATCAAATATGTGAAATCGGCTGAGTATATATATAGGAGCTATAATCAAATCTGAGCGTATTTGAATATAATTTGTCAAATTTATTTTTGTACCAAATTTAGCCACCCATGCCGAATTTCATTGGAATCGGAAATACGTATCGTGTTTTGTGCATCAAATATGTGAAATCGGCGGAAAATATATATGGCAGCTATATCCAAATCTGAACCGATTTTAATATAATTTGACAAATGTATATTTGTTTTAATTTCCGCTACACATTCCAAATTTCTTTGAAATTAGAGATACATAGCGTGTTTGGTGCATCAAATACATGAAATCGATCGAAAATATATATCCAAATCTTAACCGATTTCAATTTAATTTGACAAATTAATTTTGGCTCCCAATTCCGTTACTTATTTTAAATTTCATTACGATTGGAAATACATATCGTGTTTGGTCCACCAAATACATGAAATTGGCCGAAATGTATATGGGAGCTATATCCAAATCTGAACCGATTTCAATATAATTTGGGAAATCAATTTTTTAGATAAAATCTATCACACGTTTCAAATTTCATTGAAATTGGGTATACATAGCGTGTTTGGTGCATCAAATGCTTGAAATAGGCCAAATATATATATATATATATATGGGAGCTATATCCAAATCTGAACCGATTTCAATATAATTTGACAAACTTATTTTCGGATTAAATTCCGTCACACAATCCAAATTTCATTGGAATCGAACATTCATATTGTGTTTGAGGCATCAAATGAACGAAATCGGTCGAAAATATATATGGGAGCTATATCCAAATCTGAACCGAGACTGTATCTTCATATAAAATCTAAATTTTTGGGAGGTACCTCCGATTCTGATGCTATATCTCCAGTTCCAAGTGGAAATTAAAAAATGTATATAGCCTATGTTACTTTCAGGCGATGGTGCAGTATAAATGGAAATTTTCAGGAAAATCTATTCAGCGGTTTTCGAGTCCATAAATTACAAACAAACAAACAAACATACAAACGTTTTCCTATTTTATAGATATAGAAGAATAATCTGAATTCAAATGTGTTCCACTTTAAACTACAAATACCAGTAACACCGTTTGGACAAAGTTGATAAACTTTTCAAAAACCATAAAGTGAGTAAGTCCGTTTTATGGGGCAATACCAAAAGGGGGAACCTCTATAGATAATTTTAAACCTTAAAGATTGCCATCTTCCAAATCTCTCTTAATACCAAATTTGAAACAATTTCGTGCGTAATTTCGTGCCACAGAACCCATTATAATCTACATGATGGTTTTGCCATCATCAAAGTATATCGTAGCTATACGAAACCGTGGACTTCTACATACTATGTTCCGTCATAGAGCTAGAACCCATTACGAACTAAAAATACAAATTTTTGGACAAATCCGTGGAAAAATGTAGCAAAAATCATTAAAATACGGAATATCGGGATGTAACGTTGTATGGGGACTATACTAAAACATGGACTGTTATATCACATTTTCCATACCAACCATCCCAGATACAATAAAAATTGTTCTGCCAAATTTTGAAGCTCTACGTCAAAGAATGTGGACTGTATCGTGATTTCAACAAACAAATTTAGGGAATGACAAAGTAAATATACCCTCCTTTTCAAGGCGGTGAGTATAAAACTAGACTTCACTATGGGCATATGTTGATTTTAACACCAAAAGTCGGTTAGTTGTTGAATCGAAAATCGTATGTACCCTTAGCATTAGTCTGTTATTTTATTTGTAAGCAAAATAATAAAAACCTGTTAGATTATTGCAATTTCGGGATCAGAGCAATAGATGCACGAGCAATAATGGGATGACATACTTATAACGATATTTCCTGATTCGCGATATTTTAAATGTTGCCAGAACAATTTTGAATTCAATTAATATATGTTTAAGGTTTTAGATTTCTACCATTTGGTACACAATAAAAAATATTTAATAGAAAATAAATGAATTTTTCATACAATCCCAAATTAATATTTTTATATTTTATTTTCCCCACAAAACCATTATTTTCATTAGTTTTCTTTTTCTTGTTTGTCGCCATCTCACATTTCTCAAGCAGTGCTTAATTTGCTTTTTATTTTGACTCAGTTCCCGTTCCTAGGGACCTTTAGTTTTGTTCCTGTCAAACCCTTTCATTGTTTGGCTTATTTTGTTTTGCGAACTTACCCCTTCAATTCTTTTTTAGCAATGTTTTAAAAAATAACAATTCCAATTAAGAACAATTCGCATAAATATCAATATTTTATTGATAGAATTTATATATTTGTACTTATCCCCCGATTCAAGAAGTCGTGTTATAGAAACAGAAAATATTCCTGATTCGATTTGAGTGAAGATACAACATCTTAAAACTAAGCTACACAAGCGACAATAGTTAAATTTGGTGATTTCATGTTGCACTTCAAATTCAAAAGTTGGACTCACAATCTATCCACACTTTGAAGTTCGTAAAATACTAATTAAGGCTTTTTTTGCCAAACGGAATTTTTCACCTCCCAGACTTGTCAAAGTGTTACATACACTCGTACAAAATTATTAATCACCTGATATACACTATCACACTGGTTGTATATCTCTTAAAATCCCACATAAAAATATAGAGGATAGCAACAATAGAAACACATCATTTTTGTTATTTTTCTCATTTATTTATTGCTTTCTATTTGTTAAAAAACAATTCACATTATCACATACCATTGTTCTATGCCTCAACACAGCACAGTCTTGAGAATATTCAGCTATATTTAGTGGTTATAATAGTAGCTATGATCAAAGGTACCGAACTTATCGTACTTGAATCCGTAGTACTTTTCGAAGGTGTCTTCGTAGTAGATCTTAACGTCCTTGAAGTACATGTTGGGGACAAAGAATTCGAATTCATCGATTTCACGATCGAAGGGATAACCGAATGGTTTCTCATCAATGTGACGAACACCAGAACCAACACCGCAAGAGTAGTTGTAGTTGTAAGAGTAAGGTTCGTACGAAGCAGTGAAGGGGTAGACGAAGAAGAAGAATTGCATGGGCATACCCTTTTCCCAACCACGAGGCAAGACCAAACGATCGGGGAAACCGCAGTGAGGTTCGGAGTAGTCCAAGGGGAATTCGTATTTGCCTTCGTAGGCCAACATAACAAATTTGTACAATTCAGTGTAGGTGGTGCGGTCGTCAGTGGTCCAGTAGAAGTCCTTGGAGCTGCGCTTGAAGGTGTTGACACCAGATTTCAATTCATAATAGAATTCATCGACTTCCACGAAGTTTTCACGGTTGTCCTTCAAAGACAACACGCGACCATATTCATCGTATTTAGGGCCCAAGAAGGCGCGTACAACAACCTTTTGGTCCTTGTCCGATTTGATGGTGTATTCGAAATCGAAGTCTTTGTGGTTGAGACGCATTTGACGAGCCAACAAGGTCTTATCCCAGACAAAGTGACCATCAACGAAAGTCATCTTGTCGTTCAACAAGTTGGTGACATCGAAATCGAACAAATCGAAGTAGGTGACCAAATCGCTGACCTTAACGCTCTCAATTTCAACTCCAGGGAAGTACAATTCCTTGTGGGTGTATGGTTCAATGTATTCGTAGAATTGGAAGAACACATCGGTGATCTTCTTGTAGATCATGTAGAACATGGGATCTCGCATCATGGTTTCGTAGTTCAAGAAAACATTGGGGTGGACATAGAATTCGGTGTCATCGATATGGGCAAAGTACATATGGGCGTACATGTACCAGAAAGTGGCAAAGTATTTGTCGTAGTTGTCGTAATTGCCTTGCATGATGTCACCGAGGTATTCAATAGATTCAGGCTTACGCATGTCAATCATCTTGCCATCATAGGTCTTGAAGTAGCCCTGGGTAATGATTTCTTCAACACGGGTAAAGAAGTTGATGATGTAGTACATGTAGTCGAAGTTGCCATAGGTCTCGTATTCGTAGTAGTTCTTGCGGTAAGAATAGCCAACACCGTTGTAGTTGATCAACTGAGGATCGTAACCGTATTCGACTTCAGTGAAGAAGGAGAATTCGGGAATTTCACCAAAGCCATGGGACAAACGTTCCATGTAGTAACGGGCGAGCATTTGACGGACAACGTAGAAGTAGTATTCACCACGACGATCCTTCTTCAAACCGAAATCATCGCCATCCAAGTAGGGGAAGTAATCCATATTGAAGTAGTACCAGAATGAATTCCATTCAACATCCTCGGTGAAGTAGGACAACTCAGATTCCTTGTTGAAGAAGTAAACGTCACGGGTGTAGTCAACAGGCATGTAGAACATGTTAACATTCTTCATCACATCCAAGTATGTGGAATCCTTGTTGAACATGTACATGTTGTCGCGTTCCATGTGATGTCCTTCAGCGTACCAGTGTTCACCCAAACCCATGAGTTTCCACCATTGCCACATCTTGAAGTCCTTAGTGTAGAAGTATTCGTAGTTGTCGAATTTCTTGAAGTATTGGGAGTAGTCCTTGTACATGAAGTCCTTGTATTCCTTCTCGTACATGATGTATTTGCTCCAGACATCATAATCGAATTTCTCAGCTTCGTAGACGAATTTGCTGTTGAAGAAGTATTGTGGGAAGATTTCATAGATTGCGGGCAACATCAAGCCTTCGAAGTCATCACGGTGGATAACGGCCAAGGTCAATGCTTGGACGAACATGCCTTCGTTGAAATGCATGCGGGCCCAGCAGACATTGCGTTGGAAGACTTCCCAGTTCTTGGCATAGTAGAAGAAATCAAACAAGCCATACATTTGCTCAAAGTGAGTGAAAGCCAAAGAACCGAAAAATTCACCTTTGGGCAAAGTCACGCCATATTTGTAGGCATTGTAGAATTTCTCCATGTAGACGCTGCGTTGTTCAGGATGCTAGATGTTACAAATTTTATATAATTTTTCAATTAAATGCTGCTCAGAAAATTGGGTATCATAATTTTGCACTCACCACATAATCACTCTTGTCGTAAGTAAAGGTCTTTCCCAATTTGATGTATTCCTCGAACATCAAGGGATCCTCAACACGATAGACAATTTCGAAGAAGAATTTCTGTTTGGCCAAGAAATCCTTACTGGCATACTTCTTCTCCGGCTTGTGTGGGTAGGCACTGACTGCCACCAGGCCAATAATGGCCAATAAGGCGATCGTGATTTTCATGGCTGTCCTTGGCAATAGCACAACTCGTCAATTTTAAACAACAGAAACTGTCCACGGATTAGAGATGATGCACTGATCAAAACCAAAACCTAAAGACTGTCGTTGTTTCAGTAGAGTCCCAGGCTTTATATACCCAAGTACTAAACTGCATTGTTATGTGATGCATGCCAATGTTCTAATTTTTATTTGTATGTATTAATTTTAAACCATACATATCCGTGAAATTGATAACAGCAGTGTCACTTTCCGCTAGACCCGATGCACCGTTGTAGCGTATGAGCAGGTGTCAGTGGTGTTCGTGATAAGGTATTATGTTGCTAGGAGGATCTTGGCTTTTACACTTTGAAAGGTGAAGCGAAATTTAAAGTCTTATTCATATCTCTTTGGAATTTCAATATTCTGTCAATTTCTTCAGCCGTAATAAAGGTTATATAATTTTTTTATATGTTTCTAGAAGACCACATCTATTTTTGCATTGTTCATAATTTTCTGATTTTAGTTATACATTATAAAATTGCTCTAATGCATTAAAACAAAGGAAAACCCTGAGTTTATGAGGTGAATAGTGTTACCACAAAAGTTACATCAACTCCAGTTGTAAATAATTGTTTTGATGTGTTCGCAATTTGAATTGGGAAATAATTCTAATATCAGTCGAACTAAAATACTTCTTCATTTGAAAACAGAGAAAAAAATATATATAAGGCCAAATTGTATGCTTAATTGGTGATTGTTGTGATTCCGCTAAGCAATCTGAAAAAATTCGGAATATAACCCGTTCAACATGCCAATAATTCGAGGTTACCGTTCTATGGGGAAAATTCCAAATCCGAGATCTAAACGGGAGAAAGAAGCGTTCCACCAATTAAAATTTCAAATTAAGAATTACAAAACGTGGGCCGATATTGAATCAATTTCTTAGGACTATTTTATAGCCAATGCGAATTCAAAATGCAAAATATCTTCGAAATATGGAGATATGCATGTTTATTTTTGAGACTATATGAGATCTATACGTAATTGGAGTGTTTGTATTCTTTTGGAACCTGATTCGTCAAATTGCACCTAATTTAGTTAGCGATACCGTTATAAATACTGTATTAAATTGCCCAAAATAATAATTCATTACATATTTTTAATAAAATTTTTCTATTACAATATTTTACATAAAAATCTACTGTTCGAATAATATAAGACAGCCGATATTTTGGAAAACAGAACATTTTCTCAGAAAATCCATAAATTTTTGAACTCGATAATATGTTAGGAAGTACTTGTAATTGATTCATACAATCCTCTGATTATTATTTATATTATGTCATTCCGTTTGTAACTCCTCGAATGACTCATTTAAGTGTAAGTCTATTTAGCGACGTTCGTCTGTCAGTCTGTTGTACTCGGGCTATCTTTCGAACGAGAGAAGGCTAAAATTTTACACATAGTAGGTTTAAGTTCGTAAAGGGGGTCACGTTTTCGTATAGCCCCCATATAACTGTACCTCCCGATATTCGATATTTGGACGATTTAAGCCACATTTTCAATACGCAGAGTTTGTAACGGGTTCTACATCCTGTGGCAAAAAATTGTCTATATTTTTTCCCGTGTAATTATAAGCCCCATGTAACGGTACTTCCGATGTTATGTATTCTGATGATTTAAGACTCATTTTCTAACGGTTTTGCTGTAGCCCATATGTTTCGGTACTACCTGATATTCCGGGTTAGCCGGGCTAGCCGAACTTAACGCCTTTTTACTTGTTATCAATAAGTTATTCTCCACGTTTTTTTCTTAATACATATTAAAAGTATTCTTTTAAAAATTCGACCAATTTTGGCCAATACGCTCTTCACAATATTTTAACATTTCACAATTTTGCACCAATACATTCTTTTATCATCGTTCGACAAGCACTGCGTGTGACTTCGCTAGGTTTAACTTTTCAATGCCATCTCATTAGGTAATTAAAACTCGAAAGGAAAATTATCGCATATCCATTAACAAATGAATATCCTTCAAAATATAAAAAATGCGATTCTTGACCCGAAATATTTTAACAAACATATTTTTAAAATCGGCGATTTTTGAGTTTTTGACAACTATTTACAAAATTTCCACGTTCCGTCATTAACAATAAAATCCCTTACTCAGACGATTTCTCAAAAATATGATTTTTAGGAGGTGGTAGCTAACGATTTTCGTTTTTAGCAAACATTAGTTTGAATGTGATCGAAATATGATATTCAAACTCGGGTAGTCAATTTGTAATTTGGATCTGGGATGAGGGATGAGGTACTGATATACACAGAGAATTCACAGAAGATCTAAGAATGTAGAGATATGCTAGGATTGAACAAGCAAAAAACATTAAGTTTGGCCGTGCCGAACTTTTAATAGCCTTCACCTTAGGATAAAGGAATCATTAGAACCCATTATGACCCACAAATACCAATTTTTAGACATATTCATGGGAAGATGTGCCAAAAATCATCCAAATGCCGAATATCGGGAGGTATCGTTATATGGGAGCTATGCCAAATCGTGGACCTATTCATACAATGTTTCGCCAAAGGAGCTAGAACCCATTAGGACGCAAAAATACCAATTTTTAGACAAATCCGCGAAGAAATGTGGCAAAAATAATCAAAATACCGAATATAAGGGGGTTCCGTTATATGGCGGTTATACCAAAGCGTGGACCTATACATGCAATGTTTCGCCACCTGAGCTAAAACCCATAATGACCAACAAACACCTTTTTTTTGACAAATCCGTGAAAAAATGTGACAAAAATAATCAAAATACCGAATATCGGAAGGTACCGTTATATGGTGGCTGTACCAAAGCGTGGACCTATACAGATATGGAGTCAAGATAGACAGATAAACGGACAGACCAACATCAGCTCCAAATAAATGGAAACGGAAATCTCCCCAAGCGACATACTGTCCAAAACTATTTTTTCAATGAGCCACATTTTGACGTATCCGACATTATATTACCCGTAACCACTATTTTTCCGCAACGGTCACCTGTGTTAGAACATTCTTGGCGTTTATTTGCTTTTTTATTATAAAACAAGTATAAAAGCTGAAATTTCGGACTGGCCGAAGTTTGAATACCATCCATCAATTGGAACGAATTTGGCAATTTTCAAAAAATAAAATCCGTTATATTAGGGTCTATAAGACGACGTGGACCTGCCTAGGCATATATATATATATATATATATATATATATATATATATATATATATGTATATATATATATATATATATATATATATATATATATATATATATATATATATTAAGTTTATCATTCCGTTTGTAACACCTCGAAATATACATTTTACACAAAAGTATATATATATATATATTTGTATGCCCAATATATATATATATATATATATATATATATATATATATATATATATATATATATATATATATATATATATATATATATATATATATATATATATATGTATATATATATATATATATATATATATATATATATATATATATATATATATATACTTTTGTCTAAAATGTATATTTCGAGGTGTTACAAACGGAATGATAAACTTAATATACCCTCCACAGTATGGAGGGTGGGGGGTATAGCAACAATAATATTAAGCCTAACAGAAGTAACTAATAGCCCACGCAACGTAAAAAATGCTCACCTTCCCCACTATGACAACATTTTTTGTATGCCCAATGAAGAGCGTAGGAGTATTTCGTTGTGGAATTTTCGATCTATGGCTAGGGTCTAATTTTGTATGAGACTTGTAATTGTATTGCAATAGCCCTAAAAGTGTTTTGTGACATATTATTGAAATTGAATTGATCTCAGATTTCTATGATATTTTCTTTATTCTTTATATCTATTATGTATTGTGGAGTCCAGTTTTGATATTATACAAATCAAGTAATGTATAGAAATTTTAAATAGAATACGCTCCAGAAAAGGTTGTAGAGAACCGAACGAAACGTTGGAAAGAATAATGAAATAAAGTTGTTTTACTTGCATGACCAAATATTCCAATAAATAATAATCTTAAATATTAAAAACCTCAACATTAGTAAAAAATAATTTCGATCATATAAGATCGAAGAAATAATTTAGTTAAAAATTAATTTTGCGTATTTGAACAAAAGGTATTTGCATACCATTTATGTACCATACAAAATATATATTTTTTCGACAAACCCTCACAAGGGTATCCACTTCTTGAACCATTTGTTTAAAAAAATATATATCTTTAAAAACAATCTTCCATACAACGGTTGTTGTATTATTTAAAGTCTTTCCTACCCGAAGTGGAAAGGCCCAAAGGTGAATTTTAAAAAGGCTATATTATAGTTGGGAATCCCCCTAAGCGTTTACAAATTACCACAAATAATAAAAGCGACTGCAAAAAATGTGGAACTGAAATAGTGACCAGACAGTTTCTGATTATTGAATTACCCAAAATCACTGATCAATCCCCCAAATCATATTTTTCATAAAAAAAAACACAAAAATGTTATTTTATTTTTTTAATTTTTTTTTTTTGCATTTTTATTCGTTCTTATAACGTTCATTGCTCTTTCTTATCTTACAGTTTTAACTTCTATCATAACTTAATAGTTATAATAGTAGCTATAATCGAAATGACCGAATTTATCGTACTTGAAGCCATAGTACTTCTCGAAAGTATCCTTGTAGTAGATCTTGACATCCTTGAAGAACATGTTGGGTACGAAGAATTCGAATTCATCGATCTCACGGTCGAAGGGATAGCCGAAAGGCATTTCATCGATGTGACGAACGCCTGAGCCAATACCGCAAGAGTAGTTGTAGTTGAAGGTGTAAGGTTCGTACGAAGCAGTGAAGGGATAGACGAAGAAGAAGAATTGCATGGGCATACCCTTTTCCCAACCACGGGGCAAGACCAAACGATCGGGGAAGCCGCAGTGAGGTTCGGAGTAGTCCAAGGGGAATTCGTATTTGCCTTCATAGGCCATCATGACGAATTTGTACAATTCAGTGTAGGTGGTGCGGTCGTCAGTGGTCCAGTAGAAGTCCTTGGAGCTGCGCTTGAAGGTGTTGACACCAGCCTTCAATTCA